AGCAAGTCCGCGCGCCCTGCGCTCGTTTGCCGGCCCACCCGGGGGCAGCTCCGCACGCGCCCCCCCCGAAGGCCCCGCCCCCGAGGGCCCCCCCTTTCCGGGGCATCCGCAAATCGAATCGGTGCGGCTTTCTGGGAGCAGTCGGCGCGTCGCGCGCCGCGGCGCGGCGCGACCAAGCGCGGGGCGTTCCGACCAAAACGCAGGGGTCGAAATTATGAAGGTTTTCCTCGGCTGGGAACGCTGAAATACGACGTGGCCGAGTCTCGGGCCGCCGCGCCGCGCATGCGCGGGGCCCTGGGTTTGTCTCATTCCTGGGCACCGTCCCCTGGCCAATGCGGCCGAGGCCGATCTCGGTCGGAGACGGCGGCGGCGCAGGCCCCCTTGCCGTCGGGGCGGGATGGGGGCGCGCGCTGGGAAATCTCAAAAATTGCAGGCGAAGAGAAGGGCCCCTTGTGGGCGCGAGCTATCTTCTTCGCCGCTGGGGCGGCGCCCCCGCCCGCCTGCGCCGCGGTCGCCCGCGACTTTGCTCGCGCGCCCGAAGACGTCGCTGCGCAGGCTGGCTCGGGGAGGCACCGTTCCTTTCAGGTTGGTGCTGGCGTAGCTCTGCGTTGCGGCCCCGCGCATGTTTGGGGCGGTCGACCGCGCGCGTTCGAAGGCGCAGGCGGCTGCTTCGGCAATGCCGATTGACAAGGGTAGCTCGAGCACTCAGAGAGCCGCTCGCGGCCCCGAACTCTGGGCCCCCACGACCGCCCAACGGCGGGCGGCATCGTCGCGGCCGACCCCATGGCTTTCCTGAGCGCCGAAGCTGACAGGATTGCGTCGGTCTGGGAGAGGCGGCGGGCATGGCGCGAACGGCGAGCCTCTCGCGCATGTGCATTCGGCGAGCCGGGGTCCTCCCGAGTTGGCGCTGTCTCCAGGGGCGGGCCCGACCTTCGCGCGCTCGGCGCCGGGGGGCCGACGACCGACGACCCCCGCAGAAGTTCCGGGCGGCGACCCCCGCAGGGGGGCCGCGGGCGCGGCTTGGAGGCAGGCCTTCAGGTCCGAGGTTGGCCCCAGTCGCGGCGACGCATGGGCTTGATTTTCTGTCGGAGCTTATGGAATTCCACGAGCGCACTGACCTCGGACATCTGCGTTGCCAGCGCAGACAGCGTGTCTCCCCTCTGGCTGTCGCCAGGCTTGCTGTTCGGTCTGCGGCGATTGCCCGGCGCATTTATTTTCATTTCTCTTGGGTTTTGTCATGGGTTTGCTAGCGGGGTGCTCCATCGCCATCTGTTGCATCAGGGTCTTCGCCATGAATTGCTCCGACTCCGCCCCTCAGTCGCCAGGCGTGAATTTCGACGCAAACATCGACGACCCGGGGTTGCACAGGCAAAGCCAAGGCTGTCGCGCGAGACCTTGTTACTGGAGCGCTCTACACCCTGGCATCACCCGGGCGTTCAGATGTAAACTGACGCGCGGTGCAGCGGCGCGCCGCGCGGCGACCGCGAGACCCCGAGGGATCTGACAGCGCGGTCTTTCACCGCGCGGTTTTGGGACCTCGGAGCGCCCAGTCGCCCGAAACATCTTCGGAGAACGGCCCGCGTCCAGGAACCGCGAGGCCACCGCAAATCCCAACTGATTCACCGCACCGAAAGGTCCAGGGCCGCCGACCCAATCTAGAATAGCCGCGGCGCGGCGCCCGCGGCTGGCTCATTGGCTGGCGCGACCTACGCGTCTGATATCTAGGGGGCGCCCGACCGAGAGTTCCTCGTTTTGCGCCGAGCCTCCATGCTTTGCGCGGAGCCACGCTCGCAAGGCTCTTCGTTGTCTGTCCTATGCCTCGTGGAGAACGATCCTTACTGGCACGCGAGTGTCGCGTCCATTTTGAGTTGCTCGAAAGAAATTTGGTCGCGTCGCACGCGGGCCTTCCTTCGGCGTCTGCCTGGGGCTGAGCTCCTGGAGGGGTGGAAACAGGCTTTCAGCCATGATGATCACTCCTGGGGCAGGGTGAGACGTCCGCGCGTGGCCCTCTGCGCGCGCGTCTATCGTTTAGGATCCACTGTGCCCGGCTTTACTACTATTCGGAATGATTTGGGAGGGGGCATCTCTCTTCCCCCGACCGCCCCGCCTGGTCGAGTTATTATGTCGGGGGGCCGTGGGGCCTTGAGCGGGAATCGGGCGAGCGCTGCTGGGCGGGGCGCAGGCTGCGTTGGGGCGACGTCAAGCAGCAGTTGGCGACGCCCGAGGTTTTTGGGAAGCCCAAGGGCATCATTCGCCCGCAGGCCACCAATGCCTTCTGGACCGCCACCGACGCGGCGGGCGCGGGGCATGACGTGCCAGACACGTGCCCGTCGCGAAGCAGTTGCAGCGACACCATGCACAGTCGCTTGTTCGAGCGCGTGGCCAGCGATGAGCCGCGGGTAGAGTTTCTGCTTCAGTGCCTGCTAGAAGACGCACGTGCCGTCGACAACCCTGAGCATGAAGGAGGGTTCTTCCCGTTCGGGGGCTTTAACATCCAGGGGGCGATGCTCTTCCGCCGTTGTGTTATGGTGGTGCCTCACTCGTGTGGAAAGCTCATGGCCTTCCCCATTCCCTCCTCCTGCGCGTGGCGATGGGTGGGCGGCTCCAGTGGACTCGTATTGGGGCTTCCTCTTCATGGACGGTTCGTGCCGTCGTCATGTAGTGAGGGCGTTGTCCAGAGCGGGTTGGGCTGCGGTTGTGGTGGGGAATGATGGCGGCCCCCCAGGGATCTCTAATGGGCCCCATGTGTGCCCCGTTGCCCTAAACTCCGCACGTTGCCGAATTCGCAGCGCTCGCCTGGTCTGGGGCCTGGGTTGGCTCCATCGTTTTTTTCCGAACTGCCACACTGTAGTCGATCATGTGGTTCTAGGTTCGGGTGCGCTCTGTGGTGAGAAACCGTTTTCTGTTTCATTGTTGCCAGGCAAGGCCCTGGACACCGCGCTAGAGATTTCTGAGAGACAAGAGACCTACATTTGTTTCGTTTTTGTTTCCCTGTTTGTTTGTTTTTTTTCGCTTGTGTGAATTTGTGATGCTCCAGTTTCTGGATGCCTTCCATCGGTTGCGCCCCGACAAACGGCGTTCTGAGGGTGCCCCGATCGTTCCCATCGGCCGCCAGAGGGCCCGGGTGTGAAACGAAAACCACAGAGGAACGGCAGGGTGAGGATAGGACGAGGGGGGAAATATTGCCCCCCCCCACCCCCCCAAGTCGCCCATTCGTCGCCGAGAGGGGCCTTGTAACCCGACCCGCGTAGGAACGCGCGGTTTCGAAGTCGGAGGCGCATCGCCGATCTATTGGCGATGCATCGCCTACCAGAAACGGGCGGTAAACCGTCAAGTTGGTGTCCCCCGCAGACTTCGTGAATCTCCATGGATGTGTTGTCGTCACCATGAAAGGCTCGGGATGCTAGGAATGCGTAGTTTCGCCCTCGGGGGCTTGTCGCCGATGTATTGGCGATGCGTCGCCGATGCCTTGTCGATGCTTCTCCCCGGAGAGCGGGGGAGGGCGGCCGCGGAGGTCAGTCGCATCCAATTCTTCGCCCCCCGCAAAATTGCTCGCCCAGGCGAGGAAGGAATTTTGGTCGTTTCGTGCACAAGCGACACGAGGGTTGAGAGCAGCCGTGGCTTCAGCAGGGCACCGTGATGTTCTTCGTGTTTGGATGTTCTGCCTGGACTCTCCACGGGGCTTTGGAGCCTCAGAGAAAAAGGGGGTCAGGGTTAAGCTGGGCGTGTCCCTCCACAGGGGGAGTATTCAAAATTAGTTAAACAATAGTCAGGGGGCGATTATTTGACTAGGTTTGAATATTTATATGCATTTTTCAACTAATTTGCACTGGTCTAAATTCCGCGTGTAGGAGGACATGCCCGACCTAGGGTTTGTGGTCTTGATTCACGCGTGTGTGTGTGTGTCTATGTGTGTATGTGTGTGAGAGAGAGACCATGTTTCGACTGCACCCCCATCAGCCCACCCAGAAACGATGCCCGTCAGAGCCATCCTGAGCTCCTCTTGGATCTCCTTTGGGCTCCTCTTTGGGCTCTCTGGGGCTTCCTTCTGGGGGCTCCGAGATCAGTTTCAGCCCTCTTGTGGCCGTCTTGGGATCTCTCGCAGGTCAGTCGGACGCTCTCATTAACCATGTCACGCTGTCTTGAGCCATCGTGAGGTCCATCCTGGGGCGTCGGGGGCCATTTCGGAATTATCCAGTGTTGGCTAGCACTATCTAACCCCTCCTGCCCCCTCCCCATCCAGAACTAGGCGAAGGGGCGAGTAGGGATGAAGGGGTTGCGGAAGACATATAAGAAACTTGTTGTACCACTTGAGCCCAGACAGCCAGTTGGATGTTCAATTGGATCCCTGCGCGAGCCCTTGTCGCAGTCAGTTGTGAAAAACAAACGAAGCCCCTTCAGAACCCTCGCGAACATTCTTGCGGTAGACAGGGAGGGAAAACACAATTCTCCCGCAGAACCCCCGTGTGATAACCACTGCTGCAGGAAGGGAGATGTATTCAAGGTTCCGTTGACAACCCTGCACGAAGCTCTGCTGCAAGCAAGGGGAGGAACACACATGCCGGCGTGGGGGCACCCCTGCGGAAACCTCTGAGAGTTCTCGATCCAGATCCCCCTTCGGCAAGCAGGAAGGGCCTCGACGCGCCTCGCGCAGCACCCGCGCGGGACCCCCCGTGGTTGCTGGCAGGGGGAATGAGCAGATCTTCCTGGGGCTCCCTGTCGCCTCCCTCGCCGAGCGCGCTCCGCTACTCGCAGAGCGCCTGTTCGAAAACGTCTGCAAAAAATAGCACATGTCTGCCTCGGAGGAGGAGGAGGAGCGTATCGCAGCAAATCCCCCCTGGCGGATCCGGGACACCTGCGAGCAGCTGCTCTGCGAGCAGTGGAGCGCGCTCGCTTCTCGTGCCTGTCAACCCGCGGAAGCGGGAGCCGCAGCCACTTCTGGCGCACTCGCTGGCGCCGCTCCCACGCACTCGCTGGCACCGCTCCCACGCAGGCCCGCGATGGAGACGCCCCGCGCGGCTCGCTGCCCCGAGCGGCCTCGGGGCCCAAGGGTGCTCCGGCGCCCCCCCGCCTTCGCGCCGACCCCGAGCGGCGGCGGGGCACCCGGCGCCGCCCGCGGCGGCGGCCCCGAGCGCGGCGGGGAGGTGGGCGCCGCGCCGTGCCGGGGCTCCGCGGCGGTGCCAGGCGCGCCCCCGGACGTCGCGGACATCCCCCGCCCGAGGTTCGGGGGCCCCCAGAGGTCATGGGCCTGTTCTCCACCACCACCTGCATAAGTTGGAGGGGGGGAGAAGGTGGAGGACGAGGAGGAGGACGAAGAGGAGGAGGAGGGCGAAGAGGAGGAGGAGGAGGAGGAGGAGGAGGAGGAGGAGGAGGAGAAGGAGGAGGAAGAGGAGGAGGAGGCCCCGCCCCCCCTCCAACTTATGGTGGTGGTGGTGGAAAACATGCCCATCAAAAGGGGGTGGTGACCACGCCGTGTGGCGAGTCGGTGAGGATTCGGGGTCACAGCACGGTCTTGGGACTCGAGGCCCTCTCCGAGGACGTCTCGGGCGACAGGGGCCTCTGGGGTCCCAAGACCGTGCGGTGGTGGAGCGTGCGGTGAGGTTATTAGGGGGATTTCGAGGTCACCGCACGGTCTGTCACCGCACCGGTTCGGGGCTCCAACGAGGTTCTGCGGCCAGTGCAGCCCCTCGAGCGAGGGGAGCATCGGCCACCCGAGGTCTCGGGTTGACCCAGAAGGGGGTCCAGCGACAAGCGGGTGGTGCAATGGATTTGGTGCAATAGACTCGTGGGGTTGCAATACATCTGGGGCGTGCAATTCATTCCGGGGGCGCAAATGTATTGCTGGATCTTCGCGTACAATGCATTGCTTGCAATCCAAGGCAATACAATTCTCCGGCGCAATACACTTGCAATACAATTGCCGAAATCTATTGCACCACCCCCTTTCAGCTGGACCCCCTTCTGGGTCACCCGAAGAGGTTCTGCAGGTCGGGGTGCGTGCACGTCCTGGCTGGCACCCGCTGCCCGCGCGGCCCCGATTGCACGTGGTGCCACGACCCATCTTGCAAGACGAGGAGGCACCTGGACAAGAGGTCTCGGCAACTGTTCAGGGAGATGGACGACCTCTCCAAGATCCGCACGGTCTGGCCTGTTCTGAAGTCGAAGATGGACGAAGTTGGCCTCGGAGGTGTGGCCACACGGGCCCTGGAGAAGTGGCGCTGTGATATCACGAGCATGCCGGAGTTTGCAGGACATCCCCAGGATGTACGTCTGCCGAGCCAACACTGTTTAGAAAGACTGCGCAGGTTCAGGCTGACCGATTTGTGCGCCTGCCCCATACTCCCGGAGTGCGTTGCGGAGCGCACGGAGCGTTTGCTAATGGAGTTGCGGGCGTTCGAGCGTACCCGTATTTACGCTGATGATGGTTTCACCCATGTCCTTTGCCACGTTGGAAAGTAACGTTAAGTCGGGCATGTCCCTCTATAGGAGGAATACCCAAGAATAGTAAACAAAAGTCTGATGACGATGTGTCGTGCTCTTCTGTCTATTGTTGAGTACTGTTTGGCTATTTATTTGTCTTCCAAAATCCACATGTAGGAAGACATGCCCGACCTCAAAGTAATGCGCCGAGTTCGTCGGAGCCTTAGGTCTGCGCCCATCTCGCCGCTCCTCATGTCTCTGCCTTTGTTGGCGATTCGATCCCACTCCTTGGATCCAGGTCTGGAGTGTTAATCAGAAAAGGAAAAGGTACCCATACCGCTACCCTTCGCCCGTTTTCCCGTCTTTGGGCCTCTTGGGAGGCTCTTGTCGCCACCGCTGGATTCGCCTCGAAGTCTTGGTCAGAACGCACCCCATGAGAGGTCCTGGGCGTAGCGGTATCGGTACCTTTTGGTCTCCCCCAGTTCACCGATTGTGGTGGGAATGACACATGAGTTCCCTTCAGCGGCAGTTTGTTTTGGAAACGTTGTCCTTCCCCCTTGACTTCTTCTGAAAGCCTCCCTCTGGCGGTTCGTCCCTGTTGGCCGGCTCAGCCCCGAGGCAAGCTTCGAAACTCCCAGCTTCCAGGCTCATAGGGAGTCGGGCTAAGACCTCGTTACCTTGGTCTGCACATCCCCCCCGAGGGCAATGTGCGCTGCTTCGATGATTTTGTGGGACGATCCCGAATGACCGATCAATTGACGTCATTTGGTTGGCTTCGAGGCAGTCGGCGAGTTGGCTTGACTCGATGAGAGAGTGATGTTCTTCGCTACGCCTCTCGATCACGACCAGATGGGATCACAGGCGCCCGTTCAATATGTCGGTCGACTGTCTTCTTTCACGCCCTCGCGCGCTTCTTCCTTGTGCACTTGTAGCCTGTGGCCTGCATCGCACCAAAGCGAATGCACACGATATACATGTATCTAAATCTATGTATATGTACATATATATATATATATATATATATATGTAGACAGATCCCGGGGCAACAGGGGAGAGCCCCCCCCGGGGCGTAGACCTAACCTCCTCCATGGGGCGACGGGGGGATCCGGGGAGCCCAGAGTGCTCCAAGATCGCTCGAAAATTGTCCCCAAGCGGGGCAAGGGGGAGCTCAGAAGGGGAACCCGAACGGACATTCCGAGCTGTCCGCCTGAAGATGGCCCCAAGAGCCCCCCAGAGGCCTCCGACGCGCCCCGAAGAGGCTCCAAAAGACCCCCGAGAGGCCCCCAAGGAGCCCCAAGGGGACTTCGAAAAGAGCCCCAAAGGGCCAAAATCATGGATTCGCTGTCGGTTTTTGCATTATTTTGGCGTTCTCGCGTGTTCGGGCTTCCAAGTCTCCAAGACGGCCCAAGAGACCCCCAATGTTGCCCCGAGATTTCCCAGGAGCTCCAAAGAGGGCCCGGAGACGGACCACGAGAAGGGCCCCAAGATGGCCCAAGACGCTCCCAAAACGGCCCCCAACAGGGTGCCCAGAGGGGGAACCCGAACAATGATTTGGAGCCTTCCGCCTCAAGATGGCCTCAAGAGCCTTCCACAGGCCTTCGAGTCTCCCCCCAAGAGGCCCCCCCAAAGCCCCCAAGGAGACCCAAACGTCTTTTGAGAGGGTCCCCAGAAGCTCCCAGCAGCCCTCAAAAAGCTCTCCAAGAGGAATCGCTATGGGCCGAAGGCCAATCTCTCTCTCTCTCTCTCTATATATATATGTATATATATATATATCGCCTTCAGTATGTGGGCGGACAGAGCGACACCGAACGAGTTGTAGAGCCAGAGGGCATTGAATGTATTGCACATGAAGTCCTGCAAACACACCACATCTAAAACATATATGCCACGGTCTGCTGATAACGGGCACCGCGAAATGCACAGAGAGGAGGAAAAGAAGGAGGAGGAGCTGGGAAAACTAGCTACCAGGCGCATGTACATATTCCTTGATCGACCGTTCCGTGTTGTCATGCCACTTGTTGTGGAGTTGGTGGTCTTACGTTTCTGTTGAACTTGGCGGAAGCAACGACAGCATTTCGGAGTTTGCATCACAGCCGCGACTATGAATACATCTTGCGCGTCGATGTGCCACTACCACCTCGTCACCGCCACACACTTTCATACGTTGCTCCACGCTGCCACGCCCCAGGAGGCCTCCAAGAGGGCCTCCAGGAATGCCCGAAGAGGCCAACATCATTAATTCTCCTTAGGTTTTTGAAGGATGTTGGCGTTTGCTGCTTTTCGGCCTTCCGACGGCCCGAGACGGCCCACGAGCCCCCAAAGATCGCCCCAAGATCGCCCAAGAGGCCTCGAGGATGGCCCCAGAACGGCCCAAGAGGCTCCCAAGACGGCCCCAAAAGGGCCCCAAGCAGCCCAAGAGGCCTCTAAGACGCCCAAGATGGCTCCCAACACGGCCCTGGAGCACCCTAAGGGAGCTCCAAGTCGGCGTCAGACGGGCCTTGAGCCCACCAATGAGGCCCAAGATGGCTCTAAGATGGCCCAAGACGGCCCAGGAGGCCTCCAAGAGGGCCTCCGGGAATGCCCGAAGAGTCCAGCATCATTGTTTTCCCGTAGGTTTTTGAAGGATTTTGGCATTTGCTGCTTTTCGGCCTTTCGACGACCCGAGACGGCCCAAGAGCCCCCAACGATCGCCCTTTGGCCCCAAGCAGCCCAAGAGGCCTTCAAGACGCCCAAGATGGTCTCCACGACGGCCCTGGAGCACCCCAAGGGGGCTCCAAGTCGGCGTTCGACGGGCCCTGAGCCCACCAAGACGGCCCAATATGGCTCCAAGATGATCCAAGATAAGACGGCCCAGGAGGCCTCCAAGATGAGGCCAACATCATTGATTTTCCTTGGATGGTTGACGGATTGTGGCATTTGCTTATTTTCGGCTTTCCGACGGCCCGATAAGGCCCAAGAGCCCCCAAAGATCGCCCCAACATCGCCAAAGAGGTTTGAATGCCCCAGAACGACACAAGAGTCCCCCACGAGACGGCCCAAGAGGCCTCCAACACGCCCAAGATGGTCTCCACGACGGCCCTGGAGCACCCCAAGGGGGCCCCAAGTCGGCGTCAGACGGGCCCTGAGCCCACCAAGACGGCCCAAGATGGCCCTAAGATGGCACAAGACGGCCCAGGAGGCCTCCAAGAGGCCTCTCTAGGAATGCCCGAAGAGGCCAGCATCATTGATTTCCCGTAGGTTTTTGAAGGATTTTGGCATTTGCTGCTTTTCGGCCTTCAACGGCCCGTGACGGCCCGACAGCCCCCAAAGATCGCCCTAAGATCGCCCAATAGGTCTCCAGGATGGCCCCAGAACGGCCCAAGATAACCCCACGACGGCCCCAGAAGGGCCCCAAGACGGACCAAGAGGCCTCCAAGACGCTCAAGATGGCCTCCCTGGAGTACCCCAGGAGGGCCCCAAGTCGGCCCAGAGAGGCCGGCAAGACAGTTTCCGACGGCGTCAGACGGGCCATGAGCCCACCAAGACGGGCCAAGATGGCTCTAAGATGGGCCAAGACGGCCCATGAGGCCTCCAAGGGGGCCTCCAGGAATGCCCGAAGAGGCCAACATCATTAATTGTCCTTAGGTTTTTGACGGATTTTGGCGTTCGTTTCTTTTCTGCCTTCCGACGGCCCGAGACGGCCCAAGAGCCCCCCAAGATCGCCTTCAGATCGCCCAAGAGGCCGCCAGGATGGCCCCAGAACGCCCAAGGTGGCCTCCAAGGCGGCCCTGGAGCACCCCAAGGGCTTTGGGTGCTCCAAGTCGGCGTCAGACGGGCCCTGAGCCCACCAAGACGACCCAAGATGGCCGGCCCAGGAGGCCTCCAAGAAGGCCTCCAGGAAGGCCCGATTTTCTTTCAGGAGGCCCCTAAGAGGGCCCCAAGACGGCCTTAAGAGAGCTTCAAGCAGCACAAGAGCGCTCGAAGACGGCCCAAGAGAGTCCCCAGGAAGGCCCCACCAGATGATCCCTACACGGTCGGAGAGGGCCCCAAGAGGGCCCCAAGGCGGCCTCAGCACCCCATGACGGGCCAAGCCGAACAGGACAGGGCCCACAGACGGGCCAGAATAGGCCCCAAAGGACTCCCAAGGAATGCCCGAAGAGGTCCCAGAGACTCCCACGATGCTTCCAAAAGGCTCCCACGATGCGTCCACAAAGCTTATGGGAGGTCTCGCGCCTACGTCCTGCAAGATCCATATCAGGGCTCCCAGAGGCCCCACAGAAACATGCTGCGGGGCGCCGGGAAGCAACCAAGACATCCCGAACTCACGGTCGAGGTCAGGGGTGTACCGCCATCGGCGGGAGGGCGACATACGAACGTTGGCTTTGGGACTGTCCGTGGAACTCCCAGTGGCGCACGATTCACGTGAGAAACCCAATCGCCCTAGGAGGAGGTGATGTTATGCGAGTCCTTCCACAACGGGGCACGTGAAGCCGCGTCCTTCTGGCGCACAATCCGTGTGATGGGTGCGCTGAGATGGGCGGAAGGACGCCGTCGTGGCCGTGGGGCTCATTGCTTCCCTCGGGGCTTCCTGGGGGTCTCCTCTCGGTCCTCTCGTCGTCGTCGCAGATGTCGTCGTCGTCCTCGCAGTTGCGGCGCCGTTGTGGTCGCCGCCGCTGCTTCCGTCGTCTGCCACGCTCCTGTCCACGATGCCAGGAGGAGAAGGGGAAAGGAGGGAGGAGGAGGAGGAGGAGGAGGAGGAGGAGGAGGAGGAGGCGGAGGAGGAGGAGGAGGAGGAGGAGGGAGGAGGAGAGAGGAGGAGGGCTCGACGGCGCATGGGGGCTCAGGGGCCCCAAAGGTGTCCAAGAGGCGACTCGAGGCTCTCGGGGCGCCTCCGGGGCGCCAGAAAGTCACTCCCAGACGCCCGTGGCCGCCTCCAGAAGGCCGCTGCCCACCGCGCTCCCAAGGCGCTCCACGAAGGCTCCCAGACGACCCAACCGCGCCCCAGACGATTCAGGCAAGTCCTGGCGGCCCCCAAGAGGGCCACAAGAATCAACAATCAT